TGTTGGGGGCAATATGCTGACTCTGTAAACCGCTTAGAGAGGGCTGAAAGCCCTATGAAGCGGTATATAAGTCTACTGCTATTGCTATTGCTATACGTTTAATTTATACATACTTATAAAATACACACAAACATATATAATTGAATATACCACTTTTAAAATACTACTGGCATTTGCACAGTATTTTCATATTCTCAAAAATGCTTGATTTGTACTTTGGAATAGATTTCTATTTTTTTAGAGTATGGTGGTATAACATATGACCAGGGGAAGAAATAAGTTTAAAAACAGTAATTTTAGCAGAGATAAAATTATAATTAGAATATTTAGCAATATAATATCTATTTCTATCCTAGATTTTACTTTTAACTACTAAGAACTATACTATGGGCATTTGTTCTGCAGTTAAACAAAAGAGAGGCAAATCAAGTTGTGCTGCATAAAAATTTACCTTTATACCGCTGCAGCAATCTGTTTATTCGAATGTCCCAAAATTTCACTGTGTGATCAGAACCAGCAGAAACTATACATGTACCATCAGGATTAAAATCTACATAGTTTGCAAATCTATAAAGAAAATTAAAAATAATGGTTGTTATTGTAAAGGAATCAGGTCATCTATTTATTTCAATGAATTCTTAAAGTGTCTTTGCCACACAAGCAGTACATTCTGTTTCCCCAATATTTGCATAAAATAAGACATCCTGAGATATGCCAATATATTTATCATTAAGTAATATTTCAATTTGGATCCCTCTTGCCAAATTCTCTCCATCTTGCCTGTAAGAGAGCAATCAGGTATCAAAAGAGATATTCCTTTATATGTTGTCACTTGTAGATATTTACTAAATTGAAGTAATAACGTAGCTAGAACATGCTCTCAAGCCTAGGTCCTTCTAGATATTTTGAATTACAATTCCTATCAGCCTTAAATGGAGAATAGTTAAGAAAGCATCTCAAGATATGTGAAGCTGCACGAGAGCCTCCTGAATATGCTATCTTAGCATTAAATACCAGCACAAAGCAAATTGTATTTCGGAAAAAGTTGATCATCAAAATGACTTCTTTTTAAAAACTTAAATTATAGAAAAATAAAATCACAGGATCTTTGGATATCTTTTAGTCCAACTTCCTGCCCAAGGCTATAATCACTATACCATTCTGGACAAATGGTTGTCCCGTTTTTTTCTTGAAAACCTGCAGCAATGGGACACCCACAATCCTGAGAGGAGACAAGTTATTCCATTGATTAATTATTCGAGCCGAGGTGGCGCAGTGGTTAAATGCAGCACTGCAGGCTACTTCAGCTGACTGCAGTTCTGCAGTTCGGCTGTTCAAATCTCAGCAGCTCAGACTCAGCCTTCCATCCTTCCGAGGTGGGTAAAATGAGGACCCGGATTGTTGTTGGGGGCAATATGCTGACTCTG